ACTTTATTGTTTTTATTGGCAGATCGCTCTGTCGAGAGCCGATATTATGGCATATGTATGTCATAAATAAGTTAGCAAAATTAATTAAACTTTTAAAAAAGGCGAGAGGCGCATATGAGAATACGAAAACGAACGTATGTACAAACGTATAGATATATACATATACAGTGGCTCAATAAAGAACTCGGACATACATTCCACTGTTATCAAAAAACCCTATTAGTTTGTTTTCTTTTTAAAATACTACATACTCGTACATATCTAAATATATAATTATATAATCAAACGTAGTAGCTTAAATTAAAATTTCAGCAGTTTTTTTTTGGAAAAAAAAGGTGAAAAGCTCCAATATGGGTAGACAGCGTGGACAAAGTTCAATTTGAAGTAAGGAAGCTAATAATTAGTCATATTGAAATAGGAAAAACCATTCGGGAAATCGCAGAAATTGTGAGCAGACCCCGCTCGACTGTGCATGACGCGATTAAACGATTCAAACAAACAAAATCCGTGGAAAACAAAAAGAAGTCTGGACGACCGAATTTGTTTTCAGCTGCAGATGAGCGGTGGATAGTGCAGCAAATCGAAAAAATCCAAACATGAGCGCTCTCAAGCTCTCAACAGAAGTTTTGCACCATCTCAATATAAATTGTAATTCGGAGAGTATCCGAATAGTCTTGCGAAAAAATAATTATAATGGAGGAGTAGCACGAAAGAAACCATTTATAATATAAACGAGGTTAACCGAAACAAAATGATAAAATTTGCAAAATGTCATGGGGATAGGGATTTTCAATTCTGAAAACAAGTTTTATTTGCAGTTGAAAGCAAATTCAATATATTTAGGTCAGATGGACAGTCTTATGTTTGGACTGTTAAGCACGGGCTTATTTGGAAAATAAACTGAAAATGCATGTTATTAGAAATAAGAAAGACCTAGAAGCCCTAGAATATTTTGTTTCCCTTTAAATAATATTTTTAAATTCTTTTATACATATGTCCGAGTTTTTTTTTTGTCATCAGTTGTGTTAAGTTGTTATGTTCATATTATTTTTATACGACTGAGTTGAATTTAGTTTATAATCTTGGTTGTTTTGAATTTTATTAAATGATATATTTTTTTGTTTAGAGTCATATAACTTGTGTGTCCGAGTTCATTTTTGAGCCACTGTATGTCACAAATAAGTTCGCACAAATTTATCAAGCTTTTAAAAAAGGCGAGAGGGGCAAATGATTATTACGAAAACAAACGTATATATTATATATATATATATATATGTATGTATATATGAATCTGTATAATATATTTGTATGTAATATTGTATGTGGGAAATTGCATGTATCGTATGTATATGTAGGTATTTATATTATATAATATGTTATATATGTGCATATTTTTCTTTAGTAAATTGCCTGATGTCGGAGGGATTGTACTTAACAATGAACAAGGACAAGTAAATCATCCCTTGCTTCCTATATGCCAATAGCTAAAGCCAGTTGCCACTTGACTTTGCAATTATGTATGTATGTATATTAGGCACTTGGATACCAATTTTTCTTAATAAATGATGAGTAGAATTGGTAGGTTGTAGATTATTAAAACGGCAATTTTTATATGTTGTTTCGGAAGAGAAGGCTCCACTTATAACTTCAAAAATTCCTGTATTGGATATCCGGCTCGAAGGACCAGTGATTAGCTCAGTTAAAAGCTGCCGTGGTATCCGCTAGAAGGGGCAAATAAGGAAAACGCAATTACTAATTAATATAAATGTTTATTTACAATTTTTATGGTAACCAACTTACCGCGATGGTGATTCTGCAAATTTCCTTTTTCGAGTATCAATAAAGAAGTGTGTTAAAGCAAACGGTAAAAAAAGCTAGCCGACGAAGTAAAAGCAGCTAGTTGAGCTTTTTTAACGAAAGTTCGGCCTACGTTGCCATTACGTTTGCGGATTAAACAACAACCTTACAATTAAGCTTACAAAGCAAGCGGCATTTCAGATACCCAAATTTTTGTCGTATGCTTGGGGATTTTATTCCATGAAAATTTCACGGAGTTTGCTTTATATTTTAATGATTTCTTCTATATTACATTACAAGAAAAATTATTTTATTAAAACACTTATATATATGTATATAATTGGCGCTTTGTAACCGCTGAAGCGATTTTCGGCCGAGCCCCTACTCCAATTTGTAGTTTTGCGCCTTGATGTTTTTCGAACAAATGGAAGGACCTACAATTTATAGTAAGCCGCCTCCGAACTCGTTTCGACATTTTCTGCAGCAACAAATACCCTCCAAGACATTTTTATTTATTTGTTTTCTGTTCATATTTTCTATTTTTTCTTTTGCCTTCTGAGAATTGGTCTGCATTTTCTCTACGCTTCCAAAAGGTTATGCCATACAAATTTTACTATTTAGGGATCATTTCATGTTTACGGAAGATCTATATATATATATCTATAGATATCCCAGTCTAAAAGTGGAGATTCGTTATTTGGGAGGTAGGTCTATGTAGTGATGTTTAATGATTCGATTAATGTTTTCAATATTCAATCGTAACTCAAGCGGAGAGAGATATATAAAGTGTCCATTATATGAGATCTAATACATATACTTACATTTGTATCTATGTATATATATATATAAGTCGGTTCGCTCGACACATTGCCTACTGCGTTCAATATTCGATAGACATAATCTCCAAGCAGATTCGGTTATTCGAGCTGTCGTGGATCGATTTTGCACCGCATTTAGTCTAGTGGGTAATGTGCATCAGATACTCCATACAATGCGATTTGAGGGGGTTATCGCTTTAGTGGAACTGACTCAAAAAAAAGACCCGAATGAGTCCATCCGCCATTACGCCCAACAATTGGAACTGTGCCCATTTATTTTATGAAAGATTTAGCAGAAGAATTTTGGTTTGCGGGCTTAAAAAATCCAGCTTATGCAAAAATAGAAGCTCACCGATCATCAAGAGGAACGCAGATGGCTACCGATCCAGACTGTCACAAACAAATTTTGGTTAGTAATAAAACTATCTTGAATGGATACCCTAATAAAGCAAATTGTTGCATTTGGTTTGATGATAATCTACCAGCCATTGTTGAGGCAACACTATATGCACAAAAAGTCACTGTTTGGCGTCCTCAAGGACGGTCAATGGGCAACGCTATGGAGCTATGATAAATTACATTTTCCCTACTGAATTGGAGGATGTAACCGTGGTTGATCTTTGGTTCTAACCAAGACGTCGCTACACGTCAACAATATAAAAAAATTATTGAAGGAAACTTTTGGTGAGCACATTATTTAGAGTAGATTTTCTCTGGTGTGGCCTTCAATATTGTAAATCTAACAACGCTTGACTATTTGTTTTGAAGTCGCTTGTCTAAACAAACCGAATATGGACGTCGAGTAAAAGAGTCGAGCTAATTCCAAATATCTTATTCAATGACAAACTTATTTCCAATTGTGCACAACATCTCCTTTCTGTTCTTATCGTTATTACTACTTGAAGTTAAGTAAAAACTTTCTTTGAATTTGTCACAAAAGTAAGACTTGACAGCAGTTCAGTGGTGCATGCTCAATTCGATGATGTTATGGAAGGTGAGAATTCGAAGATTGCATTCCGTGCCAAAATATACGCAAACTAATATCTGTATATTAAAATATATCGAACGCTTCTCATAAAGATTTCATACGTTTTTCGAAACTTTGTGTTTGAAATCAAATTCGAAAGTATTTAAAAATCGTCTTTTATTCAGTGTTACTCTTAACAGGCCTATTCTGTAGAGGTAACAAAATTTAACTAGGTATTAAAATTTATTAGGCCTGGAATTCATTGAAGATGAAGAAAAAAGTGCAAAAAGCCGTATTTTAAGAATTTTTCGAGACAAAAATAGCCCTGTAGTTTGTAAGATAATGTTTTCATTTAGCTTAGTTTGTTGTCCAGGCATATTTTCCGTAATTAAGTTCAAATATTTATGATTTAATAAACAAATTAATAAAACTTTTTAATTTTTTTGTGCACCGTCTTCCAATACGATGTGAATATTTTTCTTTTTATTTTATCAACTGACAAATGTAATTTGACATGAACGAAAAAAGCAGTGCTGCCAAATTTTTTCCAACATTGTAACCAGTTCGCCAGAATACCAAATTCAATTTCTGGTGTTAAAGAAAAGTAACAAAATTTACTTTACCGGTAAGAGTGAGAATAGGCCTGTAAGTGTGACATTTACTCAGAATCAAGATTTTGTCCATATTTGGTGCTAAATTTATTCTGCTTCTGGGGAAAAAGGGTGTAATATTTATGTGTTACAGTGAAAATTTTTGATAAATATAGGGTGTTCCAAAATTTGCGCAAGATTTAAGTTTACCGCCGTCTATATAATAAAGATTTCACAATCCAAAAACAGGAAATATAAAAAATTGAGAGCTGGCAGTTTTAACTTAAGAAAAATGAGATTTAACAGATATTGTTTCAAGAATAATCAAAGCTTGACAGTCCTAAGTTTTAATACAAAATTGTAGTCGAAATAGTGTTTTAACTGCGTCAACTCTGAAGATATTAACTGAAAAAATCCGGAAGCTGGGATCACCTCGAGACGCCAAGCAAACTCAACAACTAAAGCCTAATGACCATGTACTGTAAAGAGAATTTGTTCAATTGATTATTTACCATTTAAAAAGGGATGTTGCTTTTTCGACCAAAATCTTTCTATTTTATGCTGATCTTGCGTTAATTTTCGGACACAACTTATAAACATAAAATCTTGTGCTGCCATTCGCATATTTTTTCAAGTATTACCTGCATTACAACTATTTTTAGGAATGCATAACTGATTAGTTTTCGCCATGTACATCCATAGAACATCTAGTCATACCTGCGCATACCCATGGCGTAGCTATATACGAGTTTGCATGTATGTACATACATATGTAAAATATGTATCTATTGCATTTTTTGTTAACTGACATCGCATCTCAACAGTGTCTCATTCGATCAGTAGGCTTCGCTCGTTCATTCGTATAAGTAGTAAACGTGGTTGCAATTGTAAATACAGATTTTTTTTGTTGGCAAAGTTTATTTTGAATTTGCGTTCTATGTTAATTACGCTATACGTTTGGTGGCATAACTTTTTAATGTAGTGTAACTCGCGCATTGATCGAAAATGGAAATCACACTGCGTTTGCTTCAGTTTTTTTTGAAATATACATATGCGGTAGTTTATGCATTGTTAAATTTCTTTCTGCCGCGCAAAGGTCCACCAACGATTCCGCCGATACGCAATCCGCTGATTACACTGCCTTTGGCCAATGTGATCAAGTTGATGCGGCAACGAAAGGTGAGCGAAAAAAAAATATTTGTGTTCTTAAAAAGTTCAGTGCAGTGTGATAGTGTTGAAAAAATATGAAATATGAATAATCAAATAAATTGTTTTGTAAAACTCAAGAAAAAATTATATGTATATAAAAATACATATTACCATTTTGTAGTATTAGCGACGTATAGACGAAATATATTGGAAAATCTGTAATTCAAACAAATCAAAATATTATGGTAAATAGCAACCTCATAACGCACTGCGTTTTTTCATATAATAATGGGAGATTTTAAATTTGGCATGCTTGTCCATTCTCCTAAAGTACGATACAACTTTCAGCTGTTTTTATCATTGATTTTGTCTGTGACAGACGTGTTTATAATAGATTGACGATTTCGTTAGAAAGTGTGTAAGATGTTAAGAAAGGTGAATGGTAACGTGGAGATGACGAACGCCTTTGACACCGAAACATATCAAAAGGTTGGTTGGACCCCCAAAATGAACTTTCGCAATTCAGTTTGTTGGAACTATGATCAGATGGCACAGTTGTTGGCGATGGCCAATATTGTATTCGACATCTAGATATTAAGCTCAAGCTGTTCCATTGTGTTCAACATCCGTTTCATGCAATTTTTCTAGTCCAAGCACCAAATCTATCTTTCTACTTATTTCAATGAAAGCTGCTTGTAGCAGCACTTGATTATTGCCGGACAAAGGATCTTATCTAAAACTTAACAACTGCGCACCTTAACTTTACATCAATAAATTTCCGCAATTATACATTTTTGGGTACAGTCACAGGCCACTTCTTTTACAATCTGCGCAGTCCTCAACTTGGCTTGGGTTAAGATATTTTCCTCCTTAGTGGCTAAATGACACTCGCTTTTGTCAATCCATATATCCGCAAGCAGTAAGATTACTTGTCTTTCTTATCATTTAGAAGATGGAGTTTTTATATTTCGTTCACTGATATTATTCACATGTTTATCATTGTTAGATTTCAGCGCCTAAACTTTCCAGCTTAACCTGACTTGCTTATTACAGTATTTTACATAACGACCGCCTCTTTGGTATAGATTTCTGAGTTGTTACTTTTTCGAGTTATTCTCCAAAGATAAACCACAAGCCATATTAGACGGTCACTCAAACTCCCAAAGAAACTCTGAGATCGTCTTGTTAGGCTTTTGGTAGCGATTCTTCAGTTCCATCTGCAAAATATGTGCTTGCTATGATAATGTCCTTAATGAATCATATTAAGATCTCTTAACGATCTTGTTCATATTCTAGAACTATTTGTAGAATCTTCGCTGTAGGTCCATCCAGTGCTGGGGACAAGGCAGTTGTTTGCTGAGACCGTCTTCTCGAAATGCAGCTTAAAGACTTGGAAAGGAATATGAAATAAAGGCTTCTCAGTAGGCAGAGATGCTTAGTATTCTCAATTCATTGTTCAAGATGCACGAATTGAAGGAGAGGCTTGCTTCAGCGGCTACAAAGCGCCAATTGTATGTGACAGGTGAACGAAGTAGAGCCATGTCAAGCTGTCATGTTATTTTTGTTCACTATTGTTTGTAATACCATCATGGAAAGACTTATGCCTGAGCAACGTTTACAAATCGTTCAACAAAAATTTACGTTCCGTAAAGAATGTGTTTCGCGCGCTTCACTAAACTTATGGTCAACATAACTAACCTACTGAGTGCACTATTCGCAAAACATACACCCATCTTGAGACCTAGAATTCATTATAATAACAATATAATAAAAATAATATCCCACCGATTAGACCACGTCTAGCACGCAGTGAAGAAAATATAGCGGTCGTGGCTGAGAGTGTGCGCGAAGACCGTGGAGGTCCAGCGCCGTTCGCAGCCACTCGGATTGACATATGGAACGACTTGGCGGATTTTGACGAAGAGATCTAAAATTTAAAACGTAAAAAATACAGCTTGTTCAAGAACTGATGCTTGTTTACTTTCCCAAGTGACATTGCTTCGCTCTATGGGCTCTTGCAAAATTCCAAAAAGATCTGACGTTTTCGAGTATTCGGCAATGAGGCCCATTTCTGGCTCAATGGGTATTTTAAAAAGTAAAATTGCTACATTTGGAACGAGATTCAAGAGTAGTCAGTTTATACATAATATACAAATGTTTGGTGTGGTTTGTTGGCCGGTGGAATCATTGTCTACACTCCTGCAAAAATGATGCCAGTGAGATCGTAATATCGGTGAGCAGATAATTTTACGGTTTCAGCAGAAGACTTTTTCTTGTAGGAATATGTAAATTCTTGAGTCTATGTGGACAATCCCGCTTCGATTCAAGGCTTGGAGCGAAACATCATCCAGCTACCAGTCAAAGTGATCGATTGAGTCATCGAAAAGCGGAGTCAACGGTGATACAAAATTCCCTATTAAATTGGAATTTTATATGTTTTTTTTTAAGTAGGAAAACACCTTATATTGTATTTTCTTTATTTTCACTTCTAACGGTGATATTTGAGTGATTTCTTCCAATTGTTCATCCATCTTTTGTGAAATGTTGGCAATAATTTCTAAAACGCAGACTTCTGAGCAACCATCTGTTGTGTGTGTGAAACCTCAGCAATACTTTGTTTACTGCTACTTTACTTTTCTTCCTCACAAGTAGAGATTGAGAACAGGATCAGTGATTTTAAGAAGTGCGAACTCAAGTCCAGAATCTCTACAGGGGATAATTTTGAATGTGACAACATCAATGTATTTGTATTAATATCAAGATCTTCTGTGAAAACATATATATTGAAAATGTCTTGGCTATACATACAAATCTACTTATTGATATGTTTTTTCATTGTTGTTCAAAATTTTCACATCTGTTTATTGCAAGTGAAATTTTCGAAAATTCTGTTTTTGCTATCCCGTGAAATCAGTGAGAAAATTAGGATGCAGCTCAAAATCAAAACTCAAATTCGTTACTTTTTAGGCAAATCCATATTAATCGCTGTACATTCATAAAAATACATTATCGTGAAATTTCTATTACTTTTTCCTTAGCTATTGTTCAAAAAATTACGTAGATTTTTCACACTACTAGTATATATGTATGTACGTACAAGCATACGGAGATAGTGAAAGCATGTCTCCACTATGTTTGTTTCGATCTTACACTAATACCATTATATGTATGTGTACCATATGTGTCATTGAGGGTTTAGACTCATCATAAAAAGACATGACTTTAAGGTGTATGTATAAGAATCTTTCAATCAATCCAATCGAGTCATTACCGATGTGTGTGGTTTGGCTTTGTCCTCATGGAATACAATTCTCCTCCTTTTGGCTAAAGTTGGGCGCTTTTGAGCATTTGCATCCTTCAAACGGTCCAACAGCTGCCAATAGAGGTCCGAATTAGGAAAAATAAGTGTGAGAGCAGCTCATATTAGATAATTCCACACCAAACACACAAAAGATGCCTTCTAACCGTCTATCCTGGCTTAGATGTTGTTTGGCTCAGTGACCCCCCTATCACAGTACTCGCATGGGGTCACACTCGATGGTTTCCACTACTTTATCAACATTTCGGACAATTGGCCTTCCACACCGTGTAGCATCTTTTAGTGCAAATTATCATATGTTGAACGCAAGAAAACCGGTACTGCTCAGAAGATCTCACCTGCCGTTTAGCTTATTTTTCCAACTCGCTTAGCAACAGGTGCTCCTGCCATGTGAAATATATTATTTTGTTGATTTTCTCCTGGAGTTCGTTACAGTTAAATCGTAAGAGTCTAGTCTATCAGTCGGTGAGGGAGTGGTTAGTAGGTGTTGGGTGTTGCAGCTGCGGTACACGAAGTATTTTACAAGATCAAAAATTACTTCTGACGGTTGCCACATTCCGCCATACTATGGGCTGACAGTCGAAACAGTGTGAGATACTAAAAGCTAGTTAGTAGCTACCAAATGGGAGGATGGATGTGTGTGGACTTTAGCTCCGTTGGACCTTGGATTGTTGCCCAAAATGGATAGGGATCTCTGAAAGCTTGGGATCCCGCAACAAGGTGTTCACACTCTGACCATTGCATTGATTGGATATAGAAGTGTAAGAAAGGTGGGGTCGTCTATGGCAAATGCAGCTTAAATATTTTCTCGAGTCATTGGTATAATGCTAACCCTGCTTTTCGAGCATTTGTTACCTAGAGTCTGACCTCGCTAATAAATAAACCCTAATAAACTTTGCGTTAAAAGGTTTGTAAATAATTTGCTGACACGAATCGAAACTGAATTCTACCGAGCTAGATGAACTGCTTGTAGTTCTAATGAAGATTAATGTATTGAAGATTATTTCCACTACTTGGGAATCATTTTTATTGGAAAATCCAAAAGCAGGTAAGTTTTGACAGATCAATTTTAATGAAATTTCATTACAGTACCCGCCCCGTATGTAGCAACGCTCTACAGTCGTTCTTAACCAGTTTTTGATATATTTATTTATTTAACAATTTTATTTATTGTTGTTATTACTCATAAATTCTAATCAGTGTACAGTTTGCATTAAAAACTCTAATTAATTTGTTTATCTTGAATAAAATTAGAATTAATTATTAATTGATATTTCGAGAAGGTAAATAATCTAAGGCCGCCCTAGCCGAGTAGTTAGCATTGCTTACTGTTAATCAATACCTCCGAGTGTATGTCGGAATCTACTTTAACATTTGTAACTTACGATTTTCAACCTTTCAAATTTATGTTAGTGATTTTTTAATTTCAAATATATTTTCACTACCAAATTTATACGAACAGTTTTTTAATAAAAAATAAAATATTTATAATTATGCTAGAATTAAATTTTAAATATAGAGCTAAATAAATAAGTCGTGCTTTATATAATAGGCGGTCCTGCTCAACAATTTTCATATAATTTATAACATTCAAGACTTTTCTCAATTCGAAGTTATTTATACGCGACTCGATTTTTTAAAGGAAAAAGAAATGCATTTAAATGTTGGAAATCAACAAATTACTCAATCCAAGGTCCAATCAATTTTACTT